GTGGTGATTTCTTTTCCTTCGTGACTGCGGTGATTGCGCGGGGTGATTTCCTTTTCCTTAGTGGTGACCTGATTAAGGGTCATTGATTGATTTTTGGTTTTTCTTTGATCTTTTTATATTAACTAGCAAACGTGCCGTAACGGGATAATAAAAAAACCACATTAAATAAAAGACGAAGCCAAAAGTGTCACATATCTATTTGTGTTTTATCTTTTTTTATAAAATTTTAAAGCTATAATTTATTTTATGATGACCATAACATCCATGTTGAGAATTAATATAAGTTCATATTGGTAATAATAATATGAATTGTCCTATTAAGTCTGTATTCAATTAAAATACAACCTTGATAGTTTTTTCTTCTCATGTAAGGTATGAAAATGTTTAGTCGTAAATATATCATAACTTTGATTTTTATATTATCCATGTGTTGGTGAGTCCCGTGTTTTACTTTGAGGACCCATAAATATATGTAATTTTAATCTCTACTTAAAGTCGGCAAGGAGTTAGTTGTTGTCGTGTTAGGGATTGGTTCGTCCGTTAATGGTTATGATGGAGACCTCTCTTGATTTTCACATGGTAGCTTTAGTGGAGAATTGCATCGATATATGTGTGCAACTTGGAGATTCATGTATTTAGATTGGATAATAAACTGCTTAAGAATTAGATTTATTTAATTGGACCATCAGCTGACCTTAGGTTCTAATAAAAGTAAATTTTATTCTTAATCACTGCTATACCAACCACTTATAGCAATAGAAACGTTTTGTTTATTAAAGATAGATGAGAAGACTCAAGGTTAAAAAAATCAATAATATTGTATTTATATTTTATCTTTATCTTCTTTATATATTAGAAAAAATAGGAGTTACGTGCGACAAGTAAATAAAACAAAAAAGACCGTACAGATGGAATGCAAGGGAAAAACGAAAAGAAAAAATGTATATAATATATATATATAGATAGATATAGAAAAAGGGGATGATACGGACTTGGTGGCAGACTGCCAGACCGACGCTGGGGAAAGATATGGACTTGGTGGTCACGGACGCTGCGCAAGGAAATCGAGCGACGGACGCTGCAGAAGCAAACCGAAACCGTGAAAGTTGGGCTGAAAGGCAGTTGTAATTGGGCTGGACGACAAACACGGGAAAAAAACGCTATTTGGATTTGGATTCCTATTCAGGCAATATCAAACAGGGTAGGAGAAGTCTATTTGAATTAGGATTCTAATAACTATCCAAACCTACCTCAAAAATTACTTGAAAGGGGCTATAGACAGACGTGAACAAATTTTCTACATTCACGGAGTTAGTTAGGAGGGCCCTACCCAAAAAAATGGGAAGAAATTTTGCCTATTTAGTATTATTAGGTATAGAAAAATCAGAAAGAGGTATATGTTGAGGTGACGTGATTAAATTAATTGATTTCTGTTTTTATTTGATCCTTTTATATATGGAAACAATCAGAAAGAGGTTTACTTGTGTAAATCGGCCAGGGACAAAATTCTTCGTTGATCCTTTTTTTTATATGAAATTTTTTACTATGGTTGAGAGGAATTCCGATGGATCCTAACAAAAAGATCAGATCATAGTATCATACTCTGAGTGCATATATACGTAGTATATGTTTACTGGTGGTGGCCTACACTATATCTTTGTAAAAGCAGAATAATTAATATGTACTTGCAAGCGTAAAAGGCCAGCTAAAGTGGTATTATATAATCAGATGCTTACTAAGGTCTCGCGTGTTCTTGAAAAGCCTGCAAACATACGCACGACTAAGAAGGCAGTTGATCTCAGGAAAAGTATATTTAGTAATCAATCTTTATTAGGGCAAGAATATATGTAGTTAATTGATCCACTCGTGAGCGCCGGCTGTGTGTGTGCGTAGATGTCGAACGTGCTGGGGCTGCTGTTCGGCCTGCCGGCCAGATGGCCCTCTACTTCGTGTACCGGAACCCAAGAAGAACGGCGCCATGTCGGAGATGCAGCAGGCGGTGCAGGCCGACGCCGAGAAGGAGCAGCAGCAGCGGCAGGCCCATGCCGACGCAACGAACGTACAGTGCATGATCAGAGAGAGGAAGATTGATTAGGTAGAACAAATCTAGATCGACAAGCGAAAAATGTAAATGTAGCATAAATTCCCAGCTGAAACTACCCGATCGAATGTGCCACCTAGCCTTGCAGATAATGAAATAAATCAAATCGATCTGGGTCTTCACTGCCCGGAGTGATGTTGGTACGGTGCTCGACTTCTTTGGCGTTGACGTGTGTATGTAGGATGTGCGTGCGACCGGGCGTATAGCAGCAGGGGTTCGGCGTGGAGCAGTAGGGAGCGCAGCAGCAAGGTCGATCGGGATACGTACATAAAACAAACTTTATCCCAACAAAGTCGATCGGGATTGAATCATGCGTTTGTAATAAGGGTAAAATCATAAAGTAAAAATCTTACATCTTACATCTCACAGATGATGGAAGGCTTAAATAAGACGATGTCTAGATCGAACGGGTATTATAGAGGGAGAGCCTCCTTAAAAAAAAAACTCGCTTTTTTCTAATGTGATGATATGATGATGATAGATGTACGACGTTATATACCACACAGAGCATATTGAACAATACATAATCCCATTTTTTTTGAGTCCTACGGCGAAGCAGGAACAAATAAACTCGCAAAACGTAGCCTCATGCGGTACAAGGGCAAATTGGGCCTTTCCAAAATTACGACACGTCTTCTTTGCCATTTTATTAACTCGAGGATCCCTAACTTACCACGACATGCAAAGTGTTTTTGGCCTGTATTATACTACTATATTATCGTAATATAAGCGTATAAACGCAGTGCTAGTGAATAAGTGTGCCACGTGTCCGGAGTAGGGTGAAAACGGTTATCCCTCAACGTGGGGCCATGTGAAGTGACTAGAGAGGCAGATGGCGTCGACCATGGCCGGGCATCTCCTATTTATACGGCACCTCACTCTCTCCCCTCCTCTCTTCTATTCACACTGCACGCCTCTCCTTTTTTCAAACGCGCCGTAGCAGGTTTTTTTTAAGAAGGGACGGGAAAAGCTTGGCCCTAATTTTTTTTAGATTGGACAAAGACAAAGAAAAACATGTGCTGGCCTAGTTTTTTGAGTAGAAACCAGGCCTAGAACCCACACAACAGAGGTGAATGCACCACTCATCCCGTACAACTTGGTACACCGACCGATCCTAGGATCAACTCCACACCACTGCACGCTCAGATGCACTAAACATCGAGCCAACTTGGTCAAGAAAAGACCCAACTAGCACCATAACTTGGTCGAAAAGACCTAACTAGCACCTCAACCTAGATGAAAATGACCCAACTAGCACCTCAACCTGGTTAAAAAGACCCAACTAGCACCTCAACTTGGTCGAAAAAACGACCCAACTAGAAAAACTCAACTACACTGCCAACTGGTTAACATCTAATGCAACTGAGGCCGTCGAACGCCAACAGAGCCGCCACGAGCACCACCAAGGCCGAGCAAGAGCGGAATGGCAGAGCTTGAGAAGCCTAGCGAAGCCTCTAGGGAGGAAACGACACCAAAGGCGCTGCTGACGCTAGCCCAATAGGGGAAGGTATTCACCCGCATTCACTAGCAAGGCACGGGAAGAGGTACGAAGAGGACGCCTCCAAGGAGGAAGCAGCGTCCGCTGATGTCGCCGTCCAGGCCTTAGCCCCCAACCTTGAACAACGTGCCTGCCACGGTTCGCCAGGGCTCCCCTCAGAGGATGCTTGCCCCGAAGGAAGGCGCTGGCGACTAAACGCGGGCGTCCCCGCCGACACCAGATGCCACCACGCGCATTGTAGGCGTCCCCGCCGCACGCACAGTCACCGGAAGACGACCTCGACGCCAACAAGGGCACAGCAGGCCGACAGCCACCTCGGGGTGCAGCAGCAAGAAGGCCCGGCCGCCGACCCATGCCACCGGAGCTCGGGCCAACCAGCAACAGACGGCCACCCTCGCCCGGAACCGGCCGACGAGCACGCAGATCCAGCCACACCGATGCAGATACCCCCTCCCCCCTAGCCAGCTCCACCATAGAACCAGCCAGAGCAAGGGAGAGAAAGGAGAGGGCGAGGGCAGGCCCTGACCACGGCCTCGCAGATCCGGTCGCCAACCACTAGATCCAGCCACCTCCGTGCGGATCTAGTCGTTGGACACGTGGAAGCGGCCAATCCGGGCATGGGGAAGGCAGAGCCGCACAGACCAGAGCAGGTGAGCAGACACCTGAGGGCCACCCAGAGACAGGAGCAAGCTGCAAAGAGCCCAGGCCATCGCAGACCGAAACCATGCCGGTGAGCGACAGATGCCCAACCATCAGCCCCAGCGAAGGACAGAGAACGGGAGGGAGGAGAAGGGACGGATGGGAGGAGGCATGGGGAGGTTGAGATATGCCTCGCCGCCGCCGTTCTCGCCGTCCGCCGATCTCTGGCAGGCAGCTCCAGCGGTGGCGGAGACCACGCTAGGGTTGACGGGGGGAGGCGCTCGATGGGTTGCAGAGCCACCCGAGCCGTCAGAGCAGACGACGCGGGGGCGTGTGATTTAAGAGGAATGAAAAGTGTTTACAAAATTCCATGGTAATCAGATAATTACCACTGGGGACCGAACACTATAAGGGCCTGTTTGGTTCCCGCCTCCCAAGCAGCCCTCCCAGGCGTATGTGCGGCCTGGCCGCGGCCCCCAGGCCAGGGGCGGCAACCAAACAGGCCCTAAGTCTCTCGATAAGCTTTACACGCACAAAATACGACACGGTCCGGAACTCAAAGATGAAGCACTCATCAAAGGAGAGCCAGCAGCGACCTTAGATGCAGAAAGCCCGCCGTGTCCCAGGCCCTCGTTTCTTCCTGGATGACTTTTGTTAGCTCAGCAGCCGTGGTCGCCTCACCTCCGAAAGTCCTGCTGTACTGCACTCCTCTCTCTCTCTCTCTCTACATGTGAGAAACAGACGATCAGCTCCGACCCAACCATGGCAGAGAAGGTGATCTCTCTCTCTTCTCTCTCTCTCTTTCTCTGCGGCTTGCAAAATTTGATGCTGACATGAATAAGTTCTGCGTACAACAACAATTGCGTGTTTGTGTTTTGATGTATTCTTTGTTTCTTCTTTGCGAATTTGTGTTTTGATGTAGCTGAATTTGGGCTTGTCGCTAACCTGTATATGCTGTTCTTTAGAAATTGGAAGGAATAATGGTGGAGCTAGAATATATTAAAAAAGTCTATAGAATATGTTGATCTGTAGGAATAACTCCATTCTTTATTTCACAGTCTAGATACTGTTCAAAAGCATATCGCATATATACCTACGTTGTGCAGCGTTTCAAGAATGCTTTCAATACTTTCGGAATTACTAATCTTATTCCGCTTTGTTGTGTGCCATCTGCAGTGATTTTGATCCCGTTTACTTTACTTTACTTTAGTGCTGTCAAAAAGAACAATATTTACCCTGGCTTGAGCTAATGCTGCTGTCAACACAGTTCTCCATGCTAATCGTTGTGGTTGACCTTGATTGCCACAAGTGCTACAACAAGATCCGCAAGATTCTGTGCGAGCTCCAATGTAAGAACCAAAAAAAAAAGGGCACTACAGCCTCGTCAGTATGATCGATCGGTTCATCTTTACGAGCAACAACGAACACCTTGCATGCCTACGATCTCACTCGTCATCTTGCTCCTGCAGACCATGAGAGGATCCAGACGATCTCCTTCGACGACAAGAGCAAGACGATCACCATCGAGGGGCCGTTCGAACCGCTCCGGCTCGCCTGCAAGCTCCGCTGCAAGGGCGGCAAGGTGGTCAGGGACGTCCACATCGTCGACACCAATCCTCCACCGCCACCGCCTCCGCCGCCGCCGCCGCCGCCGCCGCCGCCACCGCCATCGCCACCGCCACCGCCACCGCCACCGCCTCCGCCGCCGCCGCCACCGCCACCGCCACCGCCACCGCCGCCGAAAGTGGTGATCCCGTCGTGTCCCGCGCCGCCGGTGGGGCCGTGCGGGTGCCAGTGCTGCGCGCCCTGCTATCAGGGCTACTATGAGAGCTGCAGGTGCTGCTGCTGCGGCAGGGTGTACGGCCTTACCGTTCGGCCGTTGCCCGCGCCGTGCGGCTACAGGGGCTGCCGGACGTTCTGCGACGACGACCCGTCGGCGGCTTGTAGCATCATGTGATTGTGATCCTATCGTAGCATGCCGCATGCATGTTCTCGAGTTGACCACTCGACCTTGGAGTCATTCTAGTAGTATCAAGTTGGAGTTTTCCGTGAATTAGCATGGACTACATTGGATTTGACTGTTTTATTATACAGGTCGGGAATTAATTTGGGATGGCAGACGAATACGAAATGGACATGATAAGTTGGTTATGCGTGCGTGACTTGTAGAAAAATAAATGTTCATTAATAAGCAGGGATGCATATTGTTGTTAATTATTCTCTCGATGATTGTAAAGAGCAGAGCTGAATATATGATCTTACTGTCCACATCTAGCTCATTGGCCATAGGAAGATGTTATAGTACCACTGTACTATGTTGAGTGTTCAACACAAACAGGATCAGATGCTTCTGCTAAAGTGTGGAGTCATAAAAAGGAGAAATGTGCCGTCTGGCTTGTACTCTCTGGGTCATTATCACTATTGTCTTTTGATCATCTCACAAAAATTTTCTCAACAAAGAGCTATTCTTCCATCAACTGTCTTGCTGCTCCGCACGCATTGCAGACAGTTTGTTAAATACTCCTACTTACCAGTTACCACTTACCGCGCAACACGCTGCAGGGGAAGTCAGGAGTACAAAACAAGTGACAACAAAATTGAAATCACTTGTATTTGGTTCAGGTTAGACCTATAATTCATATGACTAGTCCATCAACATGTGCTCTCGCACGTGCTAAAATTTTAGGAGATATAAGTACTAGTTATATAATACATCTGACTAATAAAGAATTATTTATATTCAATTGTATGTTTTTTCTCTTTGTTTATTTTTCTAACACGATAGACGTAATAGATACTCTGCAGTCTATATCTAGTTATGATAAACTTATTAATTAGTATTTTTTCAAGGGACTGATCTATATGTTTTCTCATCCATATTCCTATTTTCTTTTTGCATGGCACCTCTATATATTAATATGCAATTAATTTAAAACCTTACCATTAATTATGGTGGCTCTTGTTGCACCATATATCTTATCAAGTCATGAATCTAAATTTTGATTTTTTAAATTTTATTTATTCCTATTGACTGCTACAGTTTTTTCTCTTCTCAAGTTAAGTTGAAACTCTTATGCTTATTTTATCTTTCATTAACTCTCCTTTTTGCACTTTTTTAAAATAAGGATTTTAGGTCGTAGAGTAGGTTCATAAATACTACAATAATATAAGCCATCATTTGAAATATGCATCATGTCGTTTAAGATAAGTCATAGAGCTTGAAGTGAGATCTCGGATGGGGGTAGCAGGACTAACCTTAAGAGAATTTTAATACTTAAGCCTTATAATGATCGACATTTTACTCTAAAGTAATCTTAGAGAGTCAGGAAAATATAGTCACCGGTGGCCTCCCACAATTCTCAACATGATTGAATTTTTCTATCAAGGAATTATATGTGCAGTTATGGTTATACTATAAATATAGACATGTCAAACATTCTAGTTAAAATATATAAATATATCTAAAGTAATGGCCTATATAAATTATATGTCATGGTTACTAATATGGTTTCAAACAATTTGTTAGTATCATTAGTATATAAGTTGTTAAGAAAATTATTTTTTATGTGATGAAACATAACATATATATTTATTGCTCATGGATGCTGGCACGACCCGTATGTTTACTTTAATTAAATCTTACTATATTAATATTAACAGAGGTGGGCAATGTATGTAGAAACAAATATGTGCTCTATGGTTATCTAAACATTTTTCATAATGGAAGATTTGATAATTTAGATGCAGATTTGAAGGGTATTTAATTTTTCTAATAATGAGATGAAAATTCAGTTATGTAAATTATCGATCAAATAATAGGAGGACACAGGTGATTAGTTGCAAATTTATATCTACTTTAGATCATGTTTCTTAATGGCATAGGTGGGTAACATAAATATAGAGTCATGGGTCACTTTATATTGTTTTACACAACAACAGAGGTGGATAATTATTTAGAAAATAGAATAGATCCAATAGCTATTATTATAGGTTATGCTGAATTAATGGTCAGATGTTTCTAATTTCTATGAGAATTTTTAGGATCTATCTTTTGTTTTTCTATCAGGTCTTGTGAGTATTAACATCCAGTCTCCATTCGGGACCTGTAGTTAAAATTTCTAGAATTTATCTTTTTTTTCTAGCTTGATTTGTATTTAGTTGAAACCTAATCTTATGATATATGAACTCTCGTTGCATCCCTTTCTATGATTTCATAAATCTAAAGTTTAGCTTTTAACTTTTTATCAAGTTGTTGTAATTTTTTCACATGTTAAGTAGAAATTCTAGTGTTCTTTATCTTTATTCGTAAGTTATTTTTATTAAAAAGAGTTTAGGTCTTATTAGTATTGTTTTTCACATGTTTAGTGAAAACTCAGCTTTCAGCCAGCACTGAACATGTTGAATTTGTTATATCACAGGATTATATGTGTGTAGCATTGTTTTATGTATCATGGAGTGCTGAAAATTACTGATATTGATATGACATAATGTTACAGTCAAAATGTATAAACTTATGAAATTTATTATCATGGAGTATTAATATAAATTAAAGTGAATTGTCAGTATTATTCTACGTAGTTTGTTAAGTGAATATTTTTCCATGCTTCATAAGTTATTAAAATAAATATTTATCCTAATGTATATATGTTTATTTGATATACATGGTGGAACATAGCATTATGGTTATTTAATTTCACGGTAGTAGAAGTCTGTAATTTAGAAATATATATGTATTGTAATTTATGGATATTGATTTATTTTTTACAATAATATATATTAGTATTTATATGTAGATTTGAGAGATATTTTTGTTTATTTTTTATAATGGCTAAGATAGATACAAATATAAAGGTAATACTTTACATTATCCTTCACAACGACATATATGGTTAGGTTGCATGCAAACTTAGGATGTTACTTTGCATTATCTTGTATAGCGATGAAGGTGGATAATTTATAAAATCATTAGGGGGTATTTTAAATTATCTTTTATAATGTTAGATATGGGTAATTTAGACACAAAGTTAGAGAATTATTTTAAATTATCTTTAATAATGACAAAGCTGGGTAAATTAGATGTATTATTAGGAGGTTATTTTGTATTATATTTTATTATAGCAAATGTGGGTAATTTAGATGCAAATTTAGGGGGTTATTTTTATTTTTTAATAACGACAGATGTGGGTAATTTATATGCAAATGTAGGGGTTGTTTTGAATTATCTTTTGTAATGGCAGAAGTGGGTAATTTAGTTATAAAAATAGGGGTTACTTTATGTAATTTTCATAATGACAGAGGTGGGTAATTTTTTTACAAATTACAATAGATCCAATGACTATTATCGGCGATGATGATTAGAGTCTACTAAATTAAAGGTCAGATGTTTCTAATTATTGTGAGAATTTTTAGCATTTATCTTTTTTTCTAGGGGCTAGAATTATCGTGGTACCTCTGTTGAGGGCTTTAATTAGTAATAGTAAGATAAGATTGATTGATGGTTACATGTCGAAATAATCTAGCACAAGGGTTGGGGAGAGGAATCGTGTGCTGTTTGCCGTCTTGTGGACCGCACCCACAAATGCCTCGATCATATATATAGCCATTGGATTCCCAAAGTATCCGGCTGTACCACATATCATTGATATGCTTTTCAAAAACACAACATCTAGCATCTCCTTAACTTCTTTCTCCGCTGATCGTCGAGAGTATGGTTGGCTGATTGCCTCTTGAGATTATATCTAGCGTCTCCTTAACTTCTTTTGAGGTAAGTTGCTTAGCTTGTAAAAGTAACGTAATAGCATAAATAAAGTTTACGAAGGAATACATGCAAAAGCGGCGTTAAAGTATGGTTTCTGCATTTGTTGCTGCTGTGGTTTTATTCACAATTTTCCTCTGTTTCTCGGGTTCGCGTATCGTTGGATGGCCGCTGGCTGCAGCATGTAAAACGAATTGAACCGTGGAATACGACAGTTCCATTTCGGAATAAAATTGAGTGGGGACGGTCCCCGTGAATACGACAGCAATGGGCCGCCGAGCCAACGTGCGGGACGACCACGTAGATAACCTGCTTGAACTCCTGGGCTTCCACCAACATGTCGTTGTTCGGGCCTGAGTCGTGGCGTGTCGCCTTGGTCTATGCGATGGCCTCCAGGTGGACGCTGAGGGAAAGCACTAACAGCTTCAGCTCAACCCAGGCAGCGCCACCACTGCTGGTCGGCAGGGCGGCCGAATTCGTTGCACGGTGGATCCACCGCACCATGGCGTGCACCTCTGCGAGGATGACGCCCGACATGCAGCGCACACAGTGCGCGGAGAAGGGAAGCATGGTGGCGACGTGAGCGGTGGCTGCGCCAGTGCGGGCTGTACCTGGCCAGATGACAGGGCATGGCCGCCGCGCGCCTACCCAACGAGGCGAGGACGCCATGCACCCGTCGCCTCGTGCAAGGTCGCTGGTGGCGGTCCAACCCTAGCTCGTCGGCCGCTGGTGATCCTAGGGGATTTTTTTTATTTTTAATCCTTTCTAAATAAATATTTCAATAATAACCGTTGGTTGCACAAGGTAACCCTTTTTGGTCGCGCCCGCAAGAAGAAATTACCACTGTCGTCGCGCCACATGCCTTTGGCGCGACAATGGCATCCACCGTGGCGTGGATGTTTGACCAGGCCTACTTGGCGTGGCGGCGGTCCCACCTGTCGCGCCACCGACTCGGCAGCGACAGCGTTGTCGCGCGCCAGGCGGGCTGGCGCGACAGGGCGATATAAGGTTTGGCTGGCCTGACCCACTTTCCTTTCTCTCTCTCTCTCTCCCTCTCCCATCTCGCGTCACGCCTAGGAGATGTCGGCACCGCCGCCACCACCCCGCCTGGGTGACGCCACCACCCCGCCACCTCTCTCTCCCTTTCCCGGTGCTCCGTAGGCGTAGTGCGCCAGGGAGAGCCGGGTGGGTTCGGCGCTACC